AAAAACTGAATACAAACTATAGTAGCTGAAATCAGGAAGCAGGTACTGTAATCCAGTTAGAAGTCATGAGGCACAGTTAGTTTCCTTGCTGCAACACCCTTTGGAAATACATTCTCTATTAGATGCCCAGAACTAGTTGAAAAGTTTGCAAGTTGAATCCAAATTTCCCATAGAAATGCACTGAGAATTAATTAATGCATTTTTATGGGGGGGAGGTCAGAAACTTTAAAAAACTTAAAAGAAAGTCACTTACCAGGTATTGTAGACTGAGCCTTGCTCTTCACAGTGCCTTGGTAGACCCAGGAACAGCCAAAAAAGAGCCCTAAACAGCTAAAAGCCAGCCGGCAGCCGGCAGCCATTTTGTGCTCTTCTCCATGCTCTTCTCCGCTCCTTTCCCCTCCCCACGTTTCTACACAAGCAGGTTCCAACTCAAACGGAGCACCTTTTCCCCCAAGCACAGTTTTGATTTAACCCAAAGCAAGCAGCTTTTAAAGTAAAACAACCACGTTTCAAGCACCTTTTCACCCAAGCACTAACCCCAAACAAACAGCTTTTAAACTAAATTTAACATTTTAAAACGACAATACCAGCAGTCCCAGGTCTCTCTCCCAGCTCTCTAACTGCTAGCAAGGAAGCAGACAAGCAGCCTCTTCACTAACTGAAAGTTTGAATTTCCCCACTTTCCCTGTCTTCCCCACATATTAGGTATGCTAATATCTGTGCACTTGGGGATTGTGGGAGGAACATCCAGCCCCTGATGGGGGTCCTGTGGGGCACCCCAAAACACTGAGTAGCTCTCTTGGCCTCTTTCAGCCCTGTTCTGATCAGGAGGGGCAGCCGGTGGTCACGATGCCTTTTGGGGGACAGGGCACAGAAAGGGGCAGGTGGTTTAGTGGACATTCCAACTCATACCTGGCAGGGGAAATGCCATTGTTATAACAGTGGTTTTCCTAGAGTAAAGCTCATTTATTGTACTCTGGATATGCTGACTTCTATGATTTTCCCAAATGTGGGGAAATCAACTGCCTAAATGGAAGACTGTGTTTGTGGTTTCCCCTGTTCTTTCTAGAATTACTCTTTCCCCTTTGGTTCTTGACTGTTTTCACTGTTTGCTACCATAGGCCTGTTAGCCTTGCTGGTTTTTCAGGTGGGCTGTAGGAAGCAGATCCTGGAAAGCCAGCAGTGTAGAATGGTGAGGTCCAAATATCAAGCAGTCTCTGGTGCCAGTTCAGAGGCCTCCCAGCATGGCAGTGGGAGGCTTCTGGGTGGTGGTGGTTGAACCCCTTTTTTACTGTATTTGTTCCATAAAATGCACATACTTTCTCCCCCACTATTTGAGGGAAAAAGTGCATCTTATGGAGCAAAAAATACGGTACCTGTGAGTTATTTTGAGTAGAGAAATGGCAAGCAGAGGGTTAGTAGCCTCACCCTACTCACTTTTTTCTACTTTGGATTGCAGAGTCCTTGGGTAGGTTTTTTTAAAATGTGTAACTGTTTCTGCTCAGTGTGGTAGGTCAGTCTGAAAGAGTATGAGTGGCCCAGGGTCGTCCAGTGAAAAGTTTCATGGCCAAGTGAAGATTTGAACACAGGCCTCCCATGCCCTAGAGTCCAGACCAACATGGTGACCACTTGGCTTATTTGTTTATAAAATGTTTTTTATTTTATTTGCTAGCAGTAACTGTTTCGTTGTGAAACAGTTAAAGAATCTCTTTCAGGAAGGCATGCAGGTGTTACATCGCACATTGTATGGCTCTTGAGAGGCTAACAGGGCTTTCAAGATTAGTGAGATACTTAAGGACTGGTGTGAGCCCCACCTCCAGCAGAATTGGTGGCCTTGGGGGTCTCACACCAAGAACTTTATTAGCTCCAGGTTGTTGGTGAGACTGCTTTTTATTGGAAAAGATGCCTTCCACAGTGGTTCCCCGTCACTGCCCACCTGCACCCCTGGGGGTTTCCACTTGTCCCTTGGACATGGTGACGTCAGTACTGGCCTCAGAGCTGGTGGGGCTGGAACCTAAGGCTGGGACGTGCCTCAGCCCCTCGCCACTGGGATGCTGCTGTCAGGCTCTTGCCATGGGTTGTGATCCTGCTCCCAAGTTAGTTCCCCGGTAGCACAGAGCACTGGTTCTTAACCTTTGTTACTCAGATATTTTTGGACTGCAGCTCCCAGAAGCCTTCACCATCAGCTCTGCTGGCTGGGGTTTCTGGGAGTTGCAGTTCAAAAACACTTGAGTAATAAAGGTTAAGAACCACTGGATAAGCTAGAGCTCCTCTGCTGCAGACCCGCAGGTCTCTTTCCTCAGCCAAACCCTCGCTGGGAGTCCCAGGCTATGAGGACGACCCTGAGCCTTTACCTCTGTCCTTCTTTAAGCCCCTCAGTACACCTTCCTCCCTACTTGCCAGCTGTTTTGCATCTCCCAGCTCCCAGGAGGCACATGGGCTTCCATTCTCCCACCCTGAGTGGCTGCTCCACCCTGGCTCTCAGGGGATATGTAGGGTGAGGGTAGACAGCTTTACTGGGTGCTGGTGATGGCCCTTTTGCAAGTGGTTTTGCCGGTTCCACACACTCAGTTAACTTCCATGGCTGAGCGGGGATTTGAACCCAGGCTTCTGGACCCAGTCTGTCACTCTGTCCACTATACCACACTGGGTATCTAATGAGTAATATAGCAAATTCCTTTTAGAAAATATTCCATGCTCTGGTCCTACCCAATGCAATAAACTGATAAAGAACAAACATCTGGATTCTCCTATTATCATGATGATAGTCCTTGTTTTACAGCATTATCTAATTATGTTAATGATTCCACTATACCATTGCACAGAAGTGAAAACAAATATAGTTTAACAACCTGGTTGTTGGAAGTTGCATGTGGTAATGATGGAACCAATAAAGTCTGGATTTTAGAATTGCAGTGCTAATTAGGATACCCTTGACAGATTTTCCCCATGGTTTATCTGAGCCCTACAGGGAACACAGGCTGAGTCAGAGAGATCTGCCTGGCCTTGATGTAATAATTGTGGCTGTGTTGATAAGAAGGAACCAAGACCCACAAGAAGCACTAATGGAACCAACCCAGAGTGCCTTTTGCCTCTGCTACATTGAGAGGCAACTATCCAGGCGAGAGTTGCTCACGGGTAGGATACGGTTAGATGGTTCAGCCTAAGTACACACAGGATCTGGCTGCTGCCTTGGCAACTGCCAAAAGTATATGGTATTGTAGCAGCCACACAGAATAGGCACCTGCTCTCAGACATCATAAAACATTTTAGACACAGCCTTTCAATGCATTGCCCCCAACTCAGTTTATTTTCTACTAAAGGCTTACCTCGTCTGGATTGCTGAAGGAGAAGTGAAAAGTGTGAATTCTGAATTCCAAATGTTGCTGTTAGTTCGGCCTATAATAGGGTGGAAAACATGGCTGAAAGCCCTTGCTACCAGAAGTTTGCTCAGTGGGCTCAATCAGATGAGCTGGCTGCTGTATTTAATTCCCCCCCCTTGTTCTTTTATAGGTGGTTCTTCTGGATTTTACCTCAGGAAAGGAATTCTGTGAAGATGAGGAATCATTTCTGTTACAAATGCTGTTCTGTATTTCACTGTGGATCATGTTAGCTTCAAAGTTCAGTGCTGTCTTTCTATGGCTCTAGCAGAATAAGGTATAAACCAAAGATGGGAAAGTCTGTATTCCCTCGGAAATATGTGTTTTCTTTTTTTTCTACCACTCCCACATAGAAAAAAAAAGTTTATTACATCTATATTCCACAAAAATTGGTGCTGTTTATGTAGTACTAGAAAACTGTACTAGTTGACAATCTGGATTATTGTATTGTGTTGGAAGTTTCATAGTACACTTTTAAATCTTTGCCCACTTTGTTTTGTATAATTTATAATTTTTTTTGCCCACAGAGAAACTGTTAAGTGTGATCCAAATATTATATACTTAGATGCTACTATTGCTTGTTCACATTTTTATCTGGCCATTATTGCATCATAGAATCCTCTAAATTGTCATCTGGACCAGCATGGGTCAGTGCTCTTAATTCAGATTGTGATTGACTAGGCATGTGATCCAGAGTGCCTGTTAGCTGAGAATGACTGGAAACCATAATACTGTAGCCATAAAGAATACAGGTCTTTGTAGAACAATATACTGTACTGTAATAGGTTTGTGCACAATTTCCCCCTTTAAAAAAAAAACCTCAGAACAGTAATTAATCTTCACTTTGTTTAATTGCTCATTCTGTTACTGGGTACAATTAAGAAATGCCCATGCTCTTCAAACTTTTGGAGCTTAATCTTTCTGCCCTGTTTACCTTCTAACTGGCAGATTGTTCTAACACAAGCACACAGAAAATATTGTGAAAAGATATACAATTTATTGCACAAATCCAATACTGGCATTGGAAGAAAATCAGGAAATTGAGACCTTCCTACATCACACCAAATTAAATCCTGCTAGTGCAAAGTAGTCACTCTTGATTAATCAGATTGAGCAGATGCAACACAACTGGGTAGTGAAAGGAAGGCTACATTTACCTCAGGGTTTTGTTCCAGTCTGGAATGTTATACTCCTTGTTCTCAGTACTCTCTGCTGCTTGAAGGGATCCTACCAGACAGTTGGCAAATCATTGAATTTCTGATGGGTAATGTTAGTTTTAGAGTCTACAGTATTTATATCAATAACTAAATGAGTTCTTACTGTAATTTTTCTTTTGAGCAATATTCACCACATGTCACCACCTGTATGTTTCAAAAACTTGTTCCTCTTTTTTCTGGTTGCCATTACAGTAAGCATATATTTGACCACTATAACAGGAAAAGCATTGACTATTTTAAAAAAACAAACCCAAAACAACTAACCATATTGTTTATAGCCAAGTGGTTTGAAGCTTCCTTCCTGGTTACTAGAGCACTTCCTTTACATCTGCTTATGAAGTCAAACAAGAAAAGCAGAATAGCTCCTATGAACACGTTTTCTTGTTGTGAATAGTTGCCATTTTAAGAAGTAAGCTTTAGAGAAAGAAACTGTACAAATGAAACTTCCCCAGCAGCTCAGGTAATCAATTCCGTTGTTAATGTTACATCTTGTTTTCTTTTATAAAATTCTTGGAAAAATAAAAAAATGCTGTTTGATGGTATCACCACTGTGGTGATGTTTTGCTGTATTTACCTTTTTCGAAAGTCTTCTACGAAAAGAAGATGGGAAGCAGGATTTTTGCATTTAATGTTTTATGTTTTCTTTTAAAATGCTGCTTCTGAGGACATAGTACGTATCAAGGGACCACTAAAGCAGACATTCTGTTTTACTTTGTTGTTTTGGTCTTAACAGTTCCCTTCTGCTGTCAAACAAGTGTTTCATTTTCACAGTTCATTCTTTTATGTTCCTTTTGTGGTCTTCAGCTATGTTTTGGCCTTCTTCTTACATTGTTGTATTTAAAATGCTGCTGATGGTTGCTCAGGAATTTTTATTCTTTTTCTTAATTCACTTTCATACTATTTAGGATTTTCCTGTTGATTTTACATGTTGACATTCTTATTTCTCTCTCTCAGGTTTTCTGTTTATTTCAATGTCAGCCCATAATATTCTATTACTTCCTGCACTAATGCTGTCCATCGCTGTCCTTCACAGCTTTTCTGCTTGTGGAGAGTAGATAGTCAATTTGGAATTTTGGCAAGTTTCAACAATGCTTATTTTTAAAAAAATTATACAAAAACACAGAGATATACATAGAAGTAATGCATTATTTAAGTATATGAGGTGCATCAGTGCATATTAATTAAACCAGTGAGCATAGCAGGTAAAGGCATAAAACAATTAATCATTAGAAATGCATATTATTATATGAAGTTGATTGATAAAGATGTGTCCCAGATTTCCAAATAACTTTTAAAAATTGTGCCAGCTTAATATTTTGAGTTTGAAACTGTGGTGACCATGGAATGGCATGATCTGAGTGTTGACCATTTTAGCATCTTCTACAGTATTAGCTAGTGGTGAAAATTTATTTGGATTCCAGCAGGTCAGTATCTATATTTTAGGAGACACAATCAAAATGTTGGAAGCCTAGGCAATTCCAATCCCTTGCATTTGTCTTAGAGTAGTCTAAATGGCTTAGTAACATAGCAGTTTTTCAAATTAATGGCTTGTGATATTATCCTTCTGATTATTATAAAAATTATATTTTTATTAGCTTGTGTAAGAACTGTCTGATCATTGCGGCAGTTAAAGCTGTTAAATTTAAAAGCAAATGGTTGCAGGTGTTTCGTGATTTTTTATTCTTGAAGTTAAGCAGATCTTGGCTTGGCCAATATCTGGATGAGAGAAGGGATACTGTGAGTAGATTGCTCTAAATTCCTGAAAATCGTGAGTGTTGCAAGTGTAATCAAATAGAAAGCATTCACTAAACTAAGTTAAAAGCCTGTTTCACTTGAGGTTTCAAGTCAGAGAGTTAGATCTGAAGTTTACATCACAATAATGTTTTGATCTGTATAAATGAAGGTTTTTCTGTGTTACTTTTATTTCCTGTAACTCTAAAAAGGAAACAAACAGAAACTATAATGAATACCTGTATAAATTACTGAGACACTTCGACTCGATGGTGCCCTGTATTTCTCAAAGTTATTTTAAATGCCATTGGGCCAATTTCAGCTTTTAGTGCCAGCTAAACTGGGACTAGTAAATTCAACACTTCAGCAACTCCCGTTGATTCAATGGTTCCACTCTGGTTGGAACTAATAATTAAATTTAGTTCATTAAATGAAAAAAGCCAGTGTGCTTTTAATAATTATTGCTATGCAAATTATTATTATGCAAATTATTATTGTGATGGTTGTTTTTAATGAAATTTTGGCAGAAATACTCTGATGCACAGGGGAAAATGATCTTATCCTTTGCTGTATTTTCATAGATCTCCTGTGGCATGGAGTTGGACAGCGGTGAATCACCTGTTGTTATGAGAGATGACAACAAACGGAGGAGGAGAAGGATGAAACCGCATTCTACAGCGAGTTTGTCCTCAACAGAACTTATATCCATTGAGTTTGTGCTACCCACAGGCTATATGTTAATAGATATACCTAGCAATTGTACTGTAGAGCAGATGAAAACACAGGTTTGGATGCGAGCTATAGAAAGGAATCAGAACTCAGATTACTACCATAAATTCACTCCAGATCAATTTGTTCTTCAGTACCAAAAGAAGGGACAATGGTATGAAATTTATGACAAACATCAGATAATACAGACCCTTGACTGCATGCTGTATTGGAAAGTATTACAAAAGAAGGTGGGCAAAATTCATGTGGTCCAAAAGCAAAAGCCCACAAAGGAAGTTCAAGAATTTCAAAAGCAACTCAATTATTTGATTGGTTATGATGTCACCGATGTAAGTAATGTACATGATGACGAACTGGAATTTGCTCGCCGTAGGTTAGTCACTCCACGAACAATAGAAGTATCCTGCAGAGATCCAAAGTTATATTCAATGCACCCCTGGACTACATCCAAACCTCTTCCACAGTATATTCTTAGTAGAATTATCAATAATAATATTTTCATAAATATCCACAGAGGTACAACTAGTCAGAAGATTAAAGTGGGCATTGATGACACTCCAGATATAATTCTTCAGAGCTTTTTTGCCAAAATGGCAAAAAAGAAGTCTTTGATGAATATTCCTGAAGATCACTGTGAACTGGACTTTGTCCTCAGGGTGAGTGGCAGAGACGAATATATCGTAGGAGATATGCCTATCAAAAACTTCCACTGGATAAGACAGTGCCTTAAAAACGGGGATGAAATTCACCTGGTATTAAATGATCCACCTGATCCAAAAGAAGATGAAGTGCAGAAAGAGGAGTGGCTATTAGTAGATGATTGCACTGGAGTTTCAGGATATCATGAACAGCTGACCATTGATGGCAAGGACCATGAGCGAGTGTTCACTATATCACTGTGGGATTGCAACAGAAAATTTAGGGTCAAGATAATTGGCATTGATATCCCCGTGCTACCGAGGAACACAGACCTTACTGTATTTGTGGAAGCTAATATCCAGCATGGACAGCAGCTCCTTTCACAGAAGAGAACAACAGCTAAACCATTTACTGAAGAAGTCTTGTGGAATGTTTGGCTTGAGTTTGACATCAAGATTAAAGATTTGCCCAAAGGGGCATTACTGACCCTGCAGATATATTGCGGCAAAGCACCAGCATTATCCACAAAAGCTAACCTCCAGTCACCTGATCCCCCCAGTTCTGACTCTAAATGCAAAACACAGCTTCTCTATTATGTCAATATTTTGCTCATAGACCACCGCTCCCTGCTGAGGACTGGTGACTACGTGTTGCATATGTGGAAAATTTCGGGCAAAGCGGAAGAGCAGGGAAGCATAAATGCTGATAAACTCACCTCAGCCACCAATCCAGATAAAGAAAATTCAATGGCTATCTCGATCGTTCTAGACAAATACTGCCACCCAATTGCTTTGCCTAAACACAAGATAGCCTCTGATCCACAAGGAGACAGGGCCAGAGCTGAAATGCCCAACCAACTGCGTAAACAACTTGAAGAAATCATAGCCACTGACCTGCTTAATCCACTTACCCCTGAAGACAAAGAATTATTGTGGCATTTCAGATATGAAAGTATAAAGCATCCAAAGGCATATCCTAAGCTGCTTAGTTCAGTGAAATGGGGACAGCAAGAAATAGTAGCAGAAACATACCAATTATTAGCTAAAAGAGATGCTTGGGACCACAGTACTTTGGATGTTGGGTTACCAATGCAGCTTCTAGACTGTAATTTTTCAGATGAAAATGTGAGAGCTATGGCAGTGCAAAAACTGGAGGTTTTAGATGATGATGAAGTTCTTCATTATCTCTTGCAGCTGGTTCAGGTAAGATGAGCATATATTTCTGAAGACCTGGTGTTTGAAATATAGGTCGAATTCCTGCTGCTCAGAGAAGTCGCGGTTAGAGTAGGCCCATTGCATCAATGTAATTTATGGAGGAGTTGACTCACCAAATCCACACTGATTCAATAGGCCTACTTTAGTTGTAACTGAGTATGCTAAGCAACAGGATTTTCAGCCATTGTGTAGTTGCAAAGAATATTTTGAAGGTGGGAATCTCATATTTTTAGATTGCAGCAAATGTAATAAAATCATGCCATGACAAGCATATCAGCAATAGCTCGGTATACAGTGGACCCTCGACTTACAGACGGCTCGACTTACAGGCTTTTTGAGTTACAGACTTCTCTGGCTGCAAAATTTAGATTCGACGTACAGCCGGAGAATCGACTTACAGACCAGAAAAAACCCAAAATGGAACAAAAATAGAATAAAAACCGCTGGTTATGGGATTAATCGGTTTTCAATGCATTGTAGGTCAATGGAGATTCGACCTACAGACTTTTCGACTTGCCGCCATCATTCCAATACGGATTAATTCCTTAAGTAGAGGGTCCACTGTACTTGATGATTGGTATATGTGATGATGGCATATCTTGGTCTAGTCCTATTCAAGTGTTTAACAAAAGCCGCCTAGAGTGGTCCTGAGTTGGCTAGATAGGCGGGATATAAATTAAATAAATAAAAATAATAATAAAAAGATTAGTTTGGAAATGTAAGCAGAGGAGAGTGCTAAATTTGCCCCTTCTTTCCACATGGCACTATCTCCATAGGTAGGCGGACTGCCAGTGGAAGAAAGCATTTGCTACATGGGAAGTCTTTACATCTGATTGGGGATCCTGAAAAATCAAGGTTCTTGCTCTCATGGAAATGTTCCATATATAGTAAACTGCCTTCTTTTTGGAAGATTGTTCAAACAGGACAAGCAAGGGACAGGGCTAGAATGCTCTCCCCTATTCATGCCAAATAAGGCATCTGTGTTTTGATTACTCAGCAATTGAATATAGGAACAAATTTTGTTGCCACTGAAATGTTGGTATGGAATATGATATTTTTATAATGCCCAAAAGGGGCAAGGGTGGAATTTTGTCATGCTTTGCAAGGTCTAGCACTTCTGAACCACCCAACACTTCAAAACACCAGGGGTCTTTTCAGATTTTTTTTAAATTAAAAAGTATGCAAACCTCTAGGCATGCTACCTTGGGAGTTCAGCTCTTGAATTGCTACCAGATCTGGAAAAATGGCCTGTGGCTCAGCTGTAATTGCCTGCCCCTTCTTAAGACTGATGATAATTGTAGGTGAAAAACATCTGAAGAGTCACTGTTGCCACCCCTGGTCTATGCTTAAATCTGTAAGAAATTTACTGCCTGGGCTTTTAAATATCTGTGCTGTGTGCTGAAATCTAAAAGACAATGGTTTCCCTTTTTCCATGTCTTTGGTGATCAGAACGTACTCTCCTTGAATTTCTGTCTTTCTGTAATCTTTTTTATTTGATTAATGTGCTTTTAACTGTATTATTTTGTCTTCAATTCTTAATTTAGTTTGTTTTAATTCTATTTGTTTTGTTTCATTTTATTGTTAATCATTTTGGGGAAAGGAAGTAACACATTTAAGAAATAAAGTTATTTCCCTGCTGGAAAAAAATGGCAACTAAATTATGTGCTTAGAAACATTTGCAGAGGGTTTTTTTTTAACTAGAAAAGAGAAGTGGCTTATTGAACAGATGAGTCAAAGTCTGTTTCAACTGTAGCTGTTGGAGAAGGAAGGCAATAATAGATGATTAGCCTATGTGAAGCCAAGAAATTATTTTGCCCTTTTATATGAAAGTATCCTAACAGGATAAAATTGCAAGTTTTACCATGTCTTAAAATGGAGTCTCTTTTGAGCCACATCAGTTGCCTTGCCTCACTGTGCCTTGCCTTGCCTCACTGTGAAGTTTTACACTATTGTAACATGTTGAGGAAAGTATTCTTGTAATGACTTGTCAACCTCAAAAGAATGATTCATGTTGATTTGTCTGCATTCAGAGCTTTGGGGATGGCACTTATTTGATACTGTAGGTTACACATATTAGGATGATAAAGAATGGCATTTGCAATGTGAAAATGAATAATCTCTTCTCAGGATCTGGAGTCACCTGAGTATTGTAATAGTCACATTCAGATGAAACTGAATAATTATCCCTATCTATGCTGCAGAACAGCAGCCTGTGATCGGGTTTGTTGTAAGTGTTTGGCAGTTCCCTGGTTAGAGTGGGAAATGACAGGAGAGGAGTTTCTTTAAACAATTCTTTATTAACACAACTTTTGGCTTGATCAACAACAACTTCAACTGGATAATTGAGGTCTACACCAACAGGACAATTATTCCACAAAGAGGTAATGTTTTCTCATAAGAGTCTTCTTTCATTGGTAAGACTTCACAAAGCATTCAGGATCTGTGGGTCTTCTCAGGCACCCACTCCTTATAGCACAAATTGTCTTGCAACAGGGGTGACGTGCCCATTCTCTCTGTGGCGGTTTCTCTTGAGGTTGAAGTGGTCCTGGCCGAGTTACCTTCTTCAATGGACCTCGCCCCCGCAGATAGACTAAAACTGTCCATTCTTCAGGATACAGCCCTTTCTATAATAGGTTTCGGTCCCCTGTTCTTCCCGTTAGGTGCGCTGTGGCTTCTACCCTCTATATCTATCCCTTTCTGAGGTATTTGGAATACCTTAGGTTCTGTTTCTCCTATCCATTCCTCCTCCAGAACTACTACCTTTTCTATCTCCCCTGATTCCTTTCCCTCCTCTGAAGTAAGGAAAACATCCACCTCCTTTCGGACTCTTTCTGTTGGCTCCTCCTCCTCTTTTCCCGCCTTTAACCCTTTCACTTTAGTAATCAACTGTTATCTCCTCTTTCTTAATTCTCCATCCTTTGTCTGTCTCTCTCAGACGTTTGAGGGGATGGCTCACTCTCACTTATTTTCTCCTTTTCCCCTTCTTGCTCACATAACAACTCTTCCTCTTTTTACATTGGCATACAAAACAATTAATGGGTTTGCCTGCTCACAAAAGGTCTGCTTAACTCAACAGACAGTACAGGCATGGCCATATAACTATTCTAGAAAACCCTTGGGTGGGCCGTGTGGACATCCTTGCCTAGTACAGTGGTTCTCAACCTGGGGTAACCCAGGTGTTCTTGGACTGCAGCTCCCAGAAACCCTGGCTAGTAGGATTTTAGCTACTGTTTTTAAAATTTCTGCATACTGGCTAGTATAAAATCTTCATATGGTGCAGTCTCTGGCATTTTGAGTGAGTAAAACTATTTTTAAGTATCTGACTCAACCCAAAACTTAAATATTTCCCCCTTTTTCCACCCCAAGGGAAAAAAGCTATATTCTTTCCCCCTCAATAACTTCCATGTTATTTTTTTCCCTGTCCTTCACATTTCTACTCCCTGTATGTCCTTTTTGTGACAAAATATATTGGTTTCTTCTTTATTGTCTTGCTGTTTGTTTCTATGTAGCTTTTTGGCCTGAAGGCTGTTCTTACATGTACTGGTAGGGAAACTGGCTAGTGGTCTTAGTTTGCCTAATAGGCCTCACCTTCCAGCCCAAGGAGGTGCCTGTAAAGCTTCCTTATCAGGCCGAAGTCCAAAACTTATTGTGAACCCATGCTTTAGGGATCATTGTTCTTGGGCCAAATTGGCAAGTTACAGATTAAAATAAGAGGAAAGCCAATAAAATACACTAGATCAAGATAGCTATTCAACAGTCAAATCAGTATAAAACCTGGATCATAAAAATCACAGGATATAGAAATTGTCAGAAAAAGGAAAGACCCTCCAGAAGTGCTTGTGAAAATAAGAGAGGGAAAGAAGGGGCCAAGCACAGATCATAGGGGCAAGGAAATGTAAAACCTGGGTCCTTCTTGAGGTCCAGTCTCGTGTATTCTCCAATCTAACTGAAAAGCAGCTGGTAGGATAGTTCAGTGATTTATGTGCCTGGCTGCAGAGCCAAAAGATGGGAATTCAGTTCCTCAGTATGGCTGTTGGAAAAATAGCCAGCCTGTGTAGCCTTGGGTAAGTTGCACAGTCCCAGAGCATCCTCAGAAGAAGGCAGTGGCAAACCGCTTCTGAATACTGTACTATATACTGAGAAAACCCTGAGGTAGACGACCATTAGTTGGAATCAACTTGATGGCATGTAATTATAGCTAAAAGGAGAATGTGGAGCACAGCCCTGTCCAGTTATCTTAATTAGTGCACAAACTCATCCAGAAGCAGACAGTCCTTCCAGTACTCTGCATCTGACCTTTACAGCTTTAAGGATTGTAAGGAGCACCTTTAATTGCACTCAATAAAAGGGGAGCCAATATAGCTTAGAAAGTGTCAGAGTAACATGCTCCAAGCATTAGACTTCTGGTGCTGCTCTGTTGGGCACACCATTCAATGGCATTGTAGTTTCAGGTTGGTCACCTGTGATCGGTTGCCATTTGCCACAGCAATTAATCACAAGCAAGATTTCATCACTGTCTGAGCACTTTGCTTCTACAGCAAATGAAATCAATACATTGTTTTACTATATTTATGAAGATGCTTTAAGAAGTAATACTTACATGTTGGTTATTTTGAGATGGAAGCCTTGTGCTGCAAATGAATAACTATTCCATCTTTGTTGTTGTTTAGTCATTTAGTTGTGTCCGACTCTTTGTGACCCCATGGACCAGAGCACGCCAGGCCCTCCTGTCTTCCACTAACCTCCCGGAGTTGGGTCAAATTCATGTTTGTAGCTTCAATAACACTGTCCAACCATCTCATCCTATGTCGTCCCCTTCTCCTCTTGCCTTCACACTTTCCCAACATCAGGGTCTTTTCCAGGGAGTCTTCTCTTCTCATGAGATGGCCAAAGTATTGGAGCCTCAGCTTCAGGATCTGTCCTTCCAGTGAGCACTCAGGCTTGATTTCCTTTAGAATGGATAGGTTTGTTCTCTTTGCAGTCCAGGG